TTTTTTTTTTTCACGAAATTGTTTAAAATATCTCTTTTCTAATTCTTAATCGATTCGTATCGAACAGCACTGTACATTTTTTACTATTAACAATTTGTAATCATCTTATAAACTCACATTCAAAATTGTTGAAAATAGTCTATCCGTCAATGAGTCCTCTGTTCAGAACAAACTGTCAGAAGAGATTGATGCGTCCTATAATGTTCATTCGAGTCTAAATTTTAAAAAAGAATGTACGATACTTTATTCATTTCTCTACGTTTCGTCTTGTGTTAATTTGACAAATAAACAGCTCGTTTCAACGATAAACTTTTCGCGGAGTGTAAAGCTCCTCGCAACTTTTCGAATGGCACTGTGATACGGAAAGTAACCTCGGTCCTCGGTTAATTATCACGGTTAGTTGAACTACGACATAATTAATAATCGTTTGTTGCGAGTAACTTATAACTGAAACGTGAGCTAAAGCAAAAATAACACCGTGTAAATAAAAGTAGCTTTCTAGCTCTGCTACGTTCGTTGTACAAATAACTTGGAACTGAAACGTGGGATAACGCAAAAATAACACTGTATAAATAAACTCTGCTACATTCCTTGGGCCGTAAAACAGATGTGTGTAGAATAAAAAGTATTTACAATGAAAAATCATGGTACGAAGAGTAGGAAAATGCCAAGACCTACCAAACTACATAAAATTCGTAATCAGTGTATATGACGCCAACCCAGCTTTACAGCTGAATAGAAAAGAGCAAATATCATTAACAACAATAAGAACGTGCAATCTATCTAATTCCATTGAACATATATTAATCGCTTGTTCCAAATACAAAAATAAAAAGAAACAAGACAAACTCACTCAAAATGTTGCAAAAGGAAGATCTCGGGGCGGAAAGCCTTAGAATTTTAGAAAGATGTAGGATTATACCATTTGTTATAGTCATACCTGCGCTATCATAAACTCTACCGTGGTCACTAATAACTAATAACCCGGTGTGCACAATTCTTTTCGAAAGAACCTGTCTGTTTACTAAAATGAGTGCAAGGTTGTACAAAAAAAAAAAATTCGTAGTTGACAATTTATAAAGATACAACAAAGATCCGAAAGTTTTATTCATTACGTGAATATATACAGGGTGGTTCACTTGTAATTTGAACGCACCTGAAGTAACTGTTAAATTATGCGTCTGATGAAGAACTGTTTAATGTAAAAGTTGGTATGGTTTCAAAGAAAGCAAAATATGCATTGCAGATACTGGACAACGACCGGAAATGGCCAGATGGTGACCGACGTTCCGCGAGACAACAAGGCGGCGATCATGGACAGCATAGCTTCGTCGTACGCGTTGCAGAGGCAAAGAATCGCCTCTGGCGCGACAGCCGCGCCAAAAATCTCGAAACTCGAGGGGAAAATCGGCTGGCCTTACTACCAAAAGTACAAACAAACGGCGGAGGCGCAGAAGGCTCAAATCTTCGAGGACATCCAGAGGAAAATGGCGAACGCGACCGGAAGCGGGAGCAGGAACGGCGTCCTCGGCCGTTCGTGGAACTCCACCGACATCACGACCCAACGTCAGCACAGGCTCAGAATGAAACATCATCGACTAACGTCCAAAGGGAAGCGCTTGAGAACGCGTGAGTAAGAAGATCCTCTGTCCCTGTGCATTCAGCCGTTTCTCTTTGAAAAGCGACGGCGACGTGACGCGGTTCACGCCGACAATGACCCGACGTTAATGCAATCTTTTCATTCGTGGAAATTAATGGCAAAACAAAGCTCGACAACGACGTTCTCCACGCAAATGGTCAAAGGAAGCCAAGTCTCTTCTCCTTCGTGCCTCTTTGACTCGTTGCATTTAGAGACCCGCTGCCTTTGTCGCTGCGATTATCCTTTTTTTATTCTTCCTTTTTATTTCTCGTCGTTTCGTTTAACCGCTCGCGTCGTCTTCCGCTGCTTAAACACGTTACTCCGTTTGTTAATAAACGTTTTGCGCCCTTGCCTTCCGGCGATTTCGAATTTCGATTAAAACAGACGTCGAAATTGGTTGTTGCACGGACAAAGATACACGCTTGTTGACCTGACACTCTTATTGTCTTTTCAAAAGGAACTATTTCATTCTAAATTTTTACACTTTACAAACTCGACTCCTGTTTCCTTTCCAATCTTTTTTCAAGTCATTTTGTCTTGCCGAACAGAGGAAACGTTTTTACCGGGGAAAACTTTGGCAGAAAAATTGAAACGGGAGAGATCTCGCGTATCAACAACAATGTTGTTCCTTATTTCTCTCAAGTTTTTTTAAAAACACGCAGAAACGTCAAACCAGGTCAAGGAAAAAGGAACGAGAAAAAAAAAACGCGGAGAAATTAAAGCAATATTAAATTGTAGAATACCGCGAAATGGGAAATTTCTTTTTTGTTACTTTTTCTACGCGGAGGAACTGTAGAATTTTTTCTGCCAATTTTTTTCTCTACACGTGCAAACGTTTTAATAAACAATCAACAAGTTTTTAAAAAAAAAAAAAGAAAAACACTAATAAAACAGAGAAACGATGAAAATTGACGGCAGCGTAGAAAAGAGAGATCTCGCAACGTGGCGTTCAACGTAATTTCAACTGCAAGAAACGAGAAAAGTAAAAAGATCCTTGAGATATTACGGGAACCAATTCAGGAAAGTTATTTAGTTTCGAGAACAACGCGTTTAAAAGTTTCTTATACTATTTTAATACTACTAAGCATCGCATCCTTCAAAACGAGTGTAACTTCGTTGATTGTAAAATTTCAAGAAACGTATAATTCCGCACGTGTATTTCTATGATTATGTTCAACAAATGCGAGAGGAGAAAATTTAATCTTATAGATACACTTTTAACGCGACTTGCAACGATGAGCATCGTAATTATATTGCACGTCTCATTCAAAAAATTACATTCAATTCAAATTCGAGCGCAACTATAATCCAAAACTGTTACACGTAACTGCCTGTTTCTTGTTAGGAAAAAAATATCTTCCTTGAAAGGGAGTTAAATGAACGTTGGCTATTCACTGCTGCAACATCGTGTCAGATGCAAATTGCTCTACTATTAAACATAACTTGTCTTTGATGATGCTCGTTAAAACCAGCTAACGAAGCTAATGTCCGGGTTGGAACTATCTTTCGTTCCAAAAATTGGCACTTGTCCTTATTGAATAGAAATTATTGTGTACAATCACTGTTCTCAATAATTATTATTCATAAGAAATCAGCGAAAATAGATGAACGTATACTAATTTTAAAAAAAGTTCCTGCACATACTTCATGCATTCAATTCAATTTTTTCATTAAATTTTATTTTATGTCAAATTGTCGTGGTTATACAAAGGCTGGCACTAAATGATATGAAATTTAATCTACTTGAACTTAGTCAATTATTATATTAATTGCAATGTTATATAATGTTAGTCGTTGCAAAATAATTTATTGCAACTTGATATTTATAGAATTTCACCAACAATTAATTTAATAATTATTTCAATTGTATAAGAGGATCTCAATTTACAATATATGCAATGTATTTGATAATTTGCTATATTATACTCTGTCTTCGCTAAAAACTCATATTTCCAAGATTAATAAATTTCTATATTTCTAATTTCGAAATCTTCGAGATCAACCAATAATACAAGAAGATCTTATTCTTATATCTTAGGGGAATTTATTCTAGTATACTCTACTTTCTTCGCGAGAGACTAATATCTCCATAAAACCAGAAATCCAATTTCCAGTTTCAAATAACATACATCTATATAGTCTCGATTAATAATTATTAAATTTTCATGGCAAGAACGCAATGTGTTTGATAACTGCTCTGTTATACCCAACTTCCTTCACGAAAAATAAATATTTTCGAAATTAATGATCTTGAATTTGAAATTACATACATTTATCAAATCTTCATCAATAATCACTTAATTTTCGCGTCAAACGTGTCTAATTTATTCTTTTATGTTGAACTTCCTCTTCCAAAAACTAAATCTCCAATTTCAAATAACATACAATCTAGTCTAGTTTCGATCGGCAATTCTGCAATTTTCACAGCAAGCACGAAATATATCTCTGATGACTGTTTCTATTATACGCAACTTCCATCATCAGAAAGTGATATTTCCGAAATTCTATGATAAACTTCTAAATTACACACATCTATATGATCTTAATTTTCGCGTCAAAGACGCGCAATTTATTCCGTTGTATTCAACCTCCTTCGCCAAAAACTAATATTTGCGTAATTAATAAATTTCTGAACCCTGGATTTCAAATAACATACGTATGCACGTCTGTCTATCCGTCGATCAGCTACCTAATTTTCCCGTGGAATTTAGCTTTCCGTAGTTTAATCAACACGGTTTCCGAGGTCGAGGTTCATTTCGCCGGACGAAATGTTGCAGGTCCTCCGAGGGATTGCAAGGTCGGAGAATGGGGCCCATGGAGCGCGTGTAGTCGTAGCTGCGGCGTAGGGGAGACGCAGAGGACGCGGAAGATCACGATAAAGCCACGCCGTGGCGGGTCATCGTGTCCGCCTCTGAAAGAGACCAAGTGGTGCGGCAGCGCGAGCCCCTGCTCCGACGGCAAATCCATCCTGGACAGCTATCAATGGTAGTCGTGTGGTCGTCGGTGAAACGATCCCGTGAACGACGATGCCGTCGACTCGAGATGATTTACCCAGAACGATCCGAGAGGGAGGATTCGAGGGAGGGGACCCTCCATCGTTCGGCGGGGTCCTCGTGCGATGGAAATAGACGAACGCGGCTGGATCGTTATTAGTGGTCCGCTAGATTGCGTCAATAACGTTATCGTAGTCGTAGCACCAAAGATTTCGCACGGGGCAGACACGCGTCGACATCACAACCACGATCGATCGATCGACTAGAGACGAGAGACAGCG